TCCTCCTTTTTATGTTAAGGATGAAGAATACGACGTAAATTTAGCTATCGAAATTTTAGGAGGACTTAGAGAAAAGACCATTCCCGGCACACCCGTAGATTATGTAAAAATTTACACTGGTAAATATATGATTATGAATTTTATTTATAATATATAAATGATTATTAAATTTTTTATCTGATTTCAGGATGTTGGGATAATGACCCGGATAATCGTCCATCAATGAATCAAGTAGTTGATCAATTAAATGCAAATGTTAGCACAACAGAGAATAATCAGACGAAAAGTTATGAATTAAATCTTCAACAACGTCGTTTTAATAACAACGATGCTTCTTTTTGCATAAATCATTCATTTGGCAAAACATCTCAAATTATTCGATTTGATCTGATAAATGATCAAAAGAATTATGTATCAAATAATTCCGAAATTATTCATCACATTGGTCAGAATAATGTACAAGAATTAGAATCAAATGACGGAGTATCTGATATTATTTATGATAATACTACTGAAAGTTTAACGATTACGGGATTTAATAAGGATGACATATTAAACGCCTTAGGAGGATTACAAAGATATCGAAAATTAACTAAACTCTTTTGCAATTATACTAGTATAAATAGCTTACCAACTTTACCCAACTCCTTATCGGTGCTCAGTTTTTATAGCACTAAAATAAATAGCTTACCAACATTACCCAAATCCTTAACTAAACTTGATTTCTCTTATACTCCATTAATTACCCTACCAACTTTACCGAACTCCTTAACTGTACTCACGTGTTATAAGGCTAAAATAAATAGCTTACCAACTTTACCCAACTCTTTAACTGGACTTGATTGCTCTAAAACTCCAATAATTATCCTACCAACTTTGCCCAACTCTTTAACCAGACTTATTTGTACAGATACCTTAATAAATAGCTTACCTACTTTACCCAACTCCTTAACGGAACTTGATTGCTCTGATACTCCAATAATTATCTTACCAACTTTACCGAACTCCTTAAAGGATCTTGATTGCTCTAACACTAACAAACTATCCTACCAACTTTACCCAACTCTTTAACAAGACTTATTTGTACAGATACCTTAATAACTAGTTTACCAAATTTACCCGATTCCTTAATGAATATCAGGCCCGTATCTTTAAAGTACTCCAACGCCTCAATAACTATCCTTCCAAATCGAATTTCCTCGCCTAAATATATAACCTTCTACATGTTCAAATTTCTTTTGAGAAGTAAAGATATGATAAGCGTTCACATAATTTAAAACATTGATTCTTAACTTCCTAGAAATTAATAACATTAAAGGGTTTTCTATCATCATTTATGGCATATATCTCCTGGATTAGAATATAAAGGGTATACCCCTAAAGTACTATCCATATACCATTACAATTCCTGCATTAAAATCCACTACTTTAACGGCCGGAGAAAACCTCACATCTTTATTGTTAGAAATCAGGCTTCAATTCATTTTATTTTCAATAAACGCAAAAATAACTTGTTCTTGATTGAATATACTCCATTACTTTGAATGAACGCATCTCAATTAAATGTATCGAATGTGTTTTCTCCAACCAATTGATACATTAGTTAAATACTGGTATCACTACAATATCTGTTATCATGTGACGCAATAAAGATGAAAAGATTTATTTTTTTTTTTTAAAAAAAAAATATATATATATATATATATATAAAATAAAAACATACCGAGCATTGCAAATCACCACCTAGGCTACAATATGCTATTAAAATCGATTTACAAGCATAGTAAATTATGTGATCCGTAATGTGATGTTAATAGTAAATCTCCCATTTCCTTGATCTCTAAGATTATTAAAAATGTCACAATAAAAGTATAATTATTCAATTTTATTAAATAGATTATATATTTTTAACAGATTCTCGGTTCTAGGAATTTTTAGGAATTTTCCATCCTGTGGATCAATGTGATTTCTCAGGAAAAAAAAAGTTATAATCAGAATTGTAGATGAAACTTCGGCACTTCGTCATAAGCAGAAAATATCTTCGTAACGACACATAATTCGCTAAATCACAACACTTAAAAAATTGTTCTGTACTTTTGATGATTCTAATTGATTCGGTTTCAAATAATCAACATTTGGACACGTTCACCGGCACTAGCCATACAAATCTTTTAGAAGCGAACCAACCGAAAGAAAATTACTAAAAAAAGTCTACGTCTTGAATCTGAAAATAAATTATTATATAATCAAAGAAAATTTAAAAAAGGAAAGAAACTTGCCTATTATGTACTAAATAAAATATATATATCAAATAAGTGATCCAACCCGAAAGGGTGACTTAAGGAAAGCATCGCTACGCCCTGAAGCGACCGCTCAATAATTATCTGAGGGAAAATAAATATTTTCCTCTTTTATTCTTCTCTTAACATGAGCAAAATAGCTATCGGTGATGAGACTAATGGTTGCCTAAGTATACAGTTGGTGAAAATATGGTGACCGGTGTTAGTCGCAAATCATACTGCACCTCAGTAACCTCACACTGCGGAAATTATCATAGAAGTAATACATGTAACGCATGTAACACTTGTGACATATGTACTTTGGATAACATGTATCTAATAATAACTTTTCATTACATATATTTATATTATATTTTTTATCGAAAGGCATAGCATAATTACTAGTTAGCAATTTTATATACTGTAAATAGACTTGTAAGTTGACCTTGAGTCGACAGAATTTTGCTCAGAGATTTAGATAAGTCTTGGGATTAGACCTATAACTCTACAGAATAATAAAGTTACTATTTACACTTTCAACCTTCTTCTTGTCTTCATATCAGGATTGATCATGATAACTAACTACACAAGTGAATCGTGATAATAAATCGTTTTGTTTAATTTCTCGTAGGAAAGGCCTTTGAGATAATTGAATTATTAAGATATTTAGTTTGTTAGCTTGGTTTCGGTACAATTTCAGGTCTAACACTGGATAATGAGTGCTAAAAAGGATGGCAAATAAATTCTGCCTAATTAATTAAAAAATTATCCTTTTTGAAGAAACATCAATTGAAATAACCAAAAGTAGAATTGTTGACGCTAAGAAAATAAATAAATCTTCATGGCATAGTCTTTTCAATTTTATTATTATTTCAATAGTTACGGAAAACTTTAAAAAATAATTTAGATTTCAGGATTTAATAAAAAAAATCAACTTACAATTTTAAATAAATTTCTTAATGCACCTTCTTTAAAAAAAAAAAAAAAATCTCATGAGAAGGCCTCGACATACATATTCATCAATATACACCTTTAGCAAATATTATTTTTTGGATTATTAAGCAAAGGTGGTCCAAGAAGTTGGACTTAGGCATGTGACCCAATTGCCGTTGTCTATGATGTATTGAAAATAATTTTATAAAAAAGATCCGGCCAATCAAATTTTCAAATGAATTGAACGATATTGTTCAACATGCTTCTCTTTTGGTTCGGTTTAGGCGCAAGCCTAATTCTATAATCTATTTATTTGATTTTTCATTAATGTAATAATTTCTTAACTTTGCAAAAAAAGAAAATAAATTTAAAAAATATCTCTGATTTTGAATGAATCAATCCGAAATTTCAAAATTTATAACCATATGTTAAAATATTTTAACTTTCATCCCTGAACGTTACAGACTTTTTGTTGTTGTTGTTGTAGTAATCGTTGTAGGTTTCGCTTCGAATCGGATTCATATTTTTGTATTTTAAACAAGCTTAAATTATGAATTTTTTTTTTATTTTATTATGGTAATATTTATATTCAAAATTAATTATTCGGAACATAATAAGAGTTTTTATTCGGGTTAGCCAATCCTGTAGTGAATTTTTATTGTCGATTATTTGCAAATCATAAAGAAATTTTACTTTAATTTTAGAACGTTGGGCTTGAACGAACTTGACTTGAGGTAGTGAATTATGAACTTCAGAACTTTATCGAAGCATTATTGATTCTTGTATTTATGATTAAATTTTTCTTTTTTTTTTTGTATTTTGGTATTTATAGATTTTTTTCTTATTTAGGTAATTTATTGCCATATGTTAATTTCATATTAAAGATGGAATTCCAAATTTTATTATTTTATCGGAAAAGGGAAATTTAAAGCAGAAATTTTGATCATGTATTAAACACAAATTTGGTTATTTTAAGCTACAGGTATTTGAAGATTAATATGAAAAAGTCTACATTTTTTTTTCATTTGCTTAAAACTCATAAATCATCACCTATTTTTTTTAAAAATATTGTAAATATAAGAAAAATGAAAATGAAAGCTTTTACTAATTTTTTTAATTAACGTACCATTTAGTTTCAATTTCATTAATTCTATCTGTAAACTTTCTATAGTATCTCGCTTGGTACGTATAGAGTTATTTTCGCTTTCCAACTTTTGATTGGTTTCTTTCAATCTTCTATTTGTTTCTTTGCAACAATCAAACTTATCAGTTTGAGTTCCGACCAACAATAATAATAAATTTTAGCAAATTAAAACAGTGACCTTCGCCATGCTCATCATTGACTACACAAGTATATCATTTTCAATATCAACTATAAGGTTCTCAGATCACCACACATAATAATATCAAATAATAGTAATAAAACTCACTTTCTCGGAACTCTTTTTTTTCTTTTCTTTGTTTCTTTTCTTTTCTTTTCTTTTTGTTTATTAAAAATTTTATTTTTTTGATTTATTTGTTTGGTTTTTCGAATCATTTTAATATATGGGACCTTTGGGGGGAAACTGCCGGAAAAAATCAATTTTACTTTTATTTGCCAAATATAATTTTTAGGTCAGACTTAGCTTTAAATCTTTTTTTTATTATTTTTTCCCGCCGTTCCCCCTTTTCTATTGCAAAGGTCCCATATGAATAATTTTTTTTTATAAAAAAAAAAAAAATTTGATAAAAAGAAAGTCATAAAAAACGTAAGAAACGTGGGAAAATAACCTTTATATAAAGATTGTAAAATGCATAATGACGTAAGATCTACATGAAATACGCCCACGTGAAATATTAAAAAATAAACAATTAACCAAGTTTCAAACGAAGAGTGACATTTTTAATGTTAGCTTTTTAGAACGCACATGATAGGAATTGTCTCCGGAAATATTAATTCGAGCCGGCTCGAACCGTCATATAATTATTGTAAATTTTGCCCTACATGTGTAGCTTTAATTTTAATTTTAATAAGGATCAAAGATGTTAATTAAGCACTTCAAAATTAAATATTAAATAAAATTATATCACAATTTTAAGAAAAAGCAAGCACTACCTATTTTTTTTTATAAAACACGCGAATTTTACACGTGATTTTTCAATGTATTGATTGGCATGTGTTTGGGTTTATCGTTTTTTAGGATCAACATGGTGTAACAAAAAAAGTATACAATATATCCTTCCTTTCAAAACCATAAATTATTTAACGGAGAATTACCTGAGTTAACTTATTACATAGCACAAAATTTACAAATTCGATATATTCATACGCTCTAGTCAATCGAAATTTAGGTCGAGGAACTTATGGTTTTATGGATATTTCTTCATATTTTATTGGTGATGACGTTAAAGCAAATTTTAAAGATATTTGGGATTACTATTAAGTCAAAGGATTTATTTGAGTACCACACACATTGGTATTATCTCAATTAGAACTGTACCTGAATAATTGGATTCGTCACCCTACACAACCTCGTGAACCGAATATAGTAACAAAATAAAAGGGTTTGTCCTGTTGTATATTAAATTATTTGTAGAAAGTGATGTTATTTAAGTAGTTTAAGTATGATAAGCAGTGTTTTTTATGACATATTTTTACTCGAATTGTTTGAAATCATTTTTCATAGTTCAAAATTCATATCAATTTATTGAGAAGCTTAACATTACCCTAAGTGGAACTGATCGTTTGAACATTCAAGAATTCGTGCTGACTTTATCAACGTTAGCACCTTCCATTGAATTTTCTGATTATAACGGCAATCTACCGGCTATTATTACATCACAACAACTTTCATCTTTTACCCTTATAGAAATACAGATGAACGCTCAAATATTGAATGCCATTAAGCAATGTTTTTGAACTTCTAAATTCAATCAAGTTTATAAACTGTGAATTTAAACAAGTGGCATCATTTGATGCGCTCAACTCTTTTACAGCTTACATTACCTCTTATTCCGTCATTGTAATGGATTAAAAGATCAAATTTTTGATAACCCCAACTTCATTAAAAGTTAGGTCCTTGAGAATAATTGGCAAACTCACGGAATATTCTTTATTATTACAAAAAATTGGTCCTCATGTAGAGAATTTGGTCATCGAATTATAATTTACCACGATGAAAGAAATGCTTTTGAGAATGTTATTAAGTACTGTACAAAGGTCAATTCCTAGTATTGATACTTCTGATATCCCCAAATATGTGAGTTGTTTACTAGCATCAGCGCACATCTCGAATATCTTTCCCTTAAAATTTTATTAAATATATCTTGTATATTGATCAGTTCAAAACTTCTGGAAGAGTTGGGTCCTGTATTATCAAATCACTTGAGTTCATTAAAATATTTGAACTTGTTTCTTTCAATCGATCCGATCTTCATGAGAAACTTTCTTGATCACGTACAGGAGATCGATTTGAAAAAGTTATCAATTAGGAATTATCATTACAAAGATGTCGATGTCGTTTTGACGTCTTGAAGGAGTTTGCAGAGGAGCAAATTATATGAGATTGTTGATTATTTTTGCATTCATATTAAAGTGAGGAACTACATCGATGAAGTTCAAATATCCCGATTTGGTCTTTCGTATTCCGGATTTTGAAAGAATGATTAACTCATTTTTGATGTCAATTATATGAACGTTGGTTTAAAGGATTATAAAAGATGGAAATATAAGATTGGAAAATTAGAATAGAAAAATTAAGAAACGGGATGAAAAAAATTACAGGTGAACCTTTTACGATAATTAATTACTTAATTTTCCTTATCTTATAAATTCTTCTATGTAATAATATAAAATATTTTAATAAACTTATTGTTAATTCAAAAAGTTTACGAAAATATATTTTATGCTTGTTGAATTATATAAATGACGAAGAAAACGCGGCGTGAACCGCTCCTAAACTAATCATTGTCTTATCTTAATACGATTTTTGATTTATCAAACTAAAAATTTTTACGAAAAATTAAAAAAATTAAACGTCGGAATAAGAAATCGTAAAGCTATGGTATACCAATGACTACTGTGAGCAATTGAAAGTCATTAGAATTCTTTCGATCATTTTAATTGCAAAATGTCGTGATCGCTTCAAAATTTACTTCCTTAAATTTAATAAAATAATACGCCAACTAATTAATTTCCAGATGATTTTGACGAATTTATTAGCGAGAGTAAGTAATTACGACTTAAAATTAATGTAAATTTGTCTTTTTATCAAAAGATATATTAAAACTTTGAAAATCCGATTCCTATTTCTAATGAAACTTTTAAAATTTTGTTTCGGTTTTCTTTTTAATTAATTTTTTTTCGTCGTCGTAAGTAAAACTTTTTTATTATTATTAATTTTATTGTTTTTATAATTTCTTATTAGGTTATTTCTTTTCTTTCAGCTTTGGTATACTTTAGTTAAATTATAGGTAATTGTTTCCATATTTTTTTATTTTTATATTTAAAACAATTAAAAAAATCGAAAAAAATGTTTTTTCTGATTCGATCGGATCGCTTTTGATCAATTAACATCGGCGTATTAACTTATATGAACTGTTACAGTTATATTTGCTTTTGTTTAAGGTTTATAATAAAACCATAACTGTAGTAGTTTTTATGTTTATCACAAACATCATATATCAAAATATAAACAATTTCAAAATATAATTGGTTTGAAAAATGACTTTGTATAAACGGAACTCTTCTCCGTTGTGAATCTATTATTATGGCTTTATTAGTTTAAGACTATTTTATTTTTAAATAATTGGTCTTGTATATAGTTTAAAAGAAAGCAAGAACAATAAGATTTTGTACTTTTTAACCATTCCGATGTAGGTTAATTCTTTACGCAGACGACCTTTTTTTAATTTAAGAATAAAGAAAGTTTCGATTAAAATTTATTATGACAGAAGCAAAACAATCAAATAATTTTAGTTTGAAATCCTCATTTGAAATTTTTGCAATTAAAACGATCTGCGATAGGCTATGAAAAAACATTTACCTAGATGTTGAAAATAAACTAGTTATGCCTTGTTTATAATTAAATAAATGGGAGGAAAGCTATTAAAATCACGTTACAGATTATATGATTTACAATGTCGTTTAATAGAAAACCGCCCAAATATATGCCTGTGAAAGTTGAAGCGAAAAAATTACTAAAAAAAAAAAAAAAAAAAAAAAAAAAAAAAAAAATATAACTTACCTTGCATCAAAATCGTCTGAAATGAGAGAAAAAAATTTTAATGAAATATGAATCGTCTCTTTTTAAGTTAGTGTAATATTAGCGGAAATAAAGATTTTCGTCTTGATAAATTGAAAGTATGATCGTCGGAACTATCTAAACTTCATCCAACAACTGAAGCAAATAAAAATTGTAATTTGTTGATTCAAATAAGAATGATATAAGCTTTTCAGCATTCTAGTACTGATATAGTTTATTCCTTACATTACGTTAAATTTATTTTATTTTTGTAAATATTGGCGTAGCAACTTTTTACATATTCAATAAAAAAAAATTTTAACGCCAAATTGTGACGCTTTAAATTTTGCGATTGAAATTACTTTGAAGTAAATTATTTTAAAAAACCATGTTGATTTCTTTTTATATTCCAAATTTATGATAATGTTAGATATTAATAATATAAGATATATATATGGCGGAATCATTTCATTAAAAGAGCATGACACTTTTATTATTTTTAAAGTTTTGGTTGCAGCTATCGAGCTTCATCTTCAAGAACTAGTTGAATATTTACAAAAATATTTTATTGAAAATAAATCTAAATGGATGGAACAGAATTTTGAACTTATTAATATAACAAAGCACTCAACACATTTCTTTATCAGAAATTCAACAATTTTGTTTAGACTTGATGGCTAAATCACCCGAAAAGATATTCGAATCGCCTGATTTTGCTTCGATTCCTGAAAAATTACTAGTTACGCTTATTAAAAGGGATGATTTACAAATGAAGGAAGTTGAAGTTTGGAACATTTATTGAGATGGGGAATTGAGAAAAATCCTACATTACTTTCAGATCCTTCAACTTGGTCAGATGATGATTTCAAAATAATGGAAAATACTTTACGACATTGTTTACCGTCAATTAGATTTTTTAGTTTATCTTCCGATGAATTTATCAAAAAATTTCATCCATATAAAAACCTTTTGAAACATCAACTATATTTAGATTTATTAAATTCCTATTTGGATTCTGAAAGTGAACCTAATGATAATATATTACTTCCTAGAAGTAGAAATATTAATGGAATTATTGATTCAAAGATTGTCAATTTAAATATTGTTTCCATCATTTCAAGATGGATCGATAAAGTAGAAATTAAAAGCAATTTTGCTTATGTAAGAGAATTGTATTTTCATATAAATTTAAACTATTATTAAGAGGAAGCCGAGATGGTTTTACTCCTAAAAAGTTTCATGAATTATGTGATAATATATCTCACACAGTTACGCTCATTAAGGTGAAAGGAACCGAAGAAATTCTTGGAGGTTATAATCCTCTAATATGGAAATATAGTGACGACGCTGAGTAGGGACGAACCAAACATAGTTTCATATTTTTTTTCAAGAAATTAGATAATTTCAAAGATTCAATTTTAAGTCATGTGAATGATATAGATTATGCACTATATTACGACGTTCGTTGTGGTCCTACATTTGGTGATGACCTTTTTATAAGAACTCTATTGAGACGGGAATTAATGTTGATTTTAATCATAATTATTGCATTCATTATAGATATGAAAATCATATAAGAGATACCGAAATCTTTTTAATAGAAGATTATGAAGTATTTCAAATATTGAAAAATGAGAAATAATGATATCCTATTAGATTTGAACAAGCAAATTTGATTAAATAAATAAAAATATTTCTAATTACACAAATCTTGTATTATTTTTGTTTTTTAAATCAAATCTCCTTTTTAAAAACACTTGGTAATTCAAAATTAAAATAGAATATATTTTTTGGTGGATGTTCATCTGTCATACATTTTTTTAAGGCCACTGAAATAAAAAAATAAATTTGGAATTGGATTTAGTTATAGTTCCAAATCAACAATATATAAAAGAAATGTTTATTGCTTCCACCGATCTTTACTTTGAACAGCAATAGCACATAAAATTCTCTTGAATTTGTATTTGTGAAGATATGAAATCGATATTTCTATTAAGAAAGTAACTATTATATAAAACCTGGTAACATAATAGCTAAAAAAAAAATATTTATGAACAATATAATAAAGAACAAACAATAAATATTTTGTTATTAAAAATATTTACAACTTTACTTTTGAGAATAATATAAATTACAGCTTGTCAATTGTTTAATCAGTTATAGGCAATATTTATGAAACATAAACGTTATTATTAATAAATTATGTAAATGTTAAGCTTAAATTAAGAGATTGTAAAGGTCGGTTAGATATTCAAATTATGGTTCGTAAGCTAAAATTAAATATATTAAAACTTTTATTCCTAATATTTTTAAATGTCTTACGACTATATTATCCCCTTGAAGTCTTCGATAATATCCCAAATACTTTTTTTGGCTGCTTTGATAAAAGATAATAAAAAGAAGAAATTTATAATGAAGAAAATTTAGAACAATATACAATTCACTATTAATGGATTTTGATCAAATTTTTTAAAAAAAGCATTTACTTATTAGTAAAACATATAAATGGACAGTGGGAAATATTTAAAACTATAAATTTCTAACATATACCATTATTAAATGGTAACTTTATTTTTTTTTTTTTACTTTGAATAATTATTTACCTAAAAATGATAACTTTATTTAAGTACCTTAAAATTTTAAGGTATAATTTAGAGGTTGGAACCGGCCGAAAATTCTTTAACCGTTTAATAACCGGTTAAAATATTTGTTAACCGGTTAATTAACCGGTGAAAAATTAACCGGTTCCAACCTCTAGTATAATTAAAGCACTTATAAATAACTATGTATAATAAAGCTAGCTTCCCACGGACCCCACGGAAGATGCTTCCACACCGAAAGTATTGTTCTATTTTGCCTTTTTATTATTTTTAAGTACAAGCTTATACATTTTCTATACTCAACATATAACGAATAACCGACGATTAAGATTTCTTAGTAACACAAAAGTTTTTTTTTATTACTCTGTTTATTTTGTCCTTAGATTATTTAACTTAAATAAACTTTATTTAGAACATGATCTGCATTAGCCGTACGATAATATGGATATTGTACGGTGGTATTTACATTGGTTAACGTCAATTCGTGACGTTTAACAAATATAAATACAACACCGTACAATATCCATAAAATACAAATTTTTCAACTCTAATATAAGAAGCATACAATACGTACAAGGCATGATCGTTCTCGAATTTGACTTCACTTAGATCTTCTTTTCTTTTGTATTCCGAAAGGAGACGCGACAAAAAAAGGTGTTTTGCTAGCAGCCATCTTATCCAGCTTTATTTATGAAGAAATTTTTAAATGATGGACCAGTTACTTTTGAACATTAACCTTCTGAAGTCATTACTGAGTGATATTTTGATGCTGTGGTAATTTTTTTTTTAACCTGATTATCACTTATGTGGTGGTCGGGAGCAACATTTATTATCTGGCTTAGTACAAGCATATTGAGAACTTAAATTAAAAACATTCTTCCATTAAATAAAGTTGTTGTGCCTGCCTCCCTGGTGAGGTCAGGACAATAATCATTCCTTTCTTATCATGAGCAAGTTGTTTGAATCATGTGTCGGGGCCATATCGTGTGATAATGAATTTGAAATTCGTGTTCACATTACAAAATCCGAAATCAATATTGTGTGTTTTTGCTACCTTCACTTCTTTAAAAAAGATCTTTGAAAGTCTCAGTAAAATATTCCCGTCATGGATACCAAGATGCGCAAACTCGTGATCATGTATATATATCCTTTAACCTTTTAAGCGAATCTAATAAATGATATTCCTCAGTTTCGTATTGCATTAATAAAATATAATCGTTTGTTTCTGGTCATGAGAAATTCCATTGAAATTATTATAATATAACATGATTCAAGATGGAAGAAGAGAAAGAAAGGGTAAATAATTTTAATTTAATTCAAAAAAGGTTAAATTTTCACAACATACCTGATGAACAATTTGAACAAATTCAACCCGACTTATTTAAATTCTTTAATAGCGATATATTGTCATTTTATTACATGAAAAGTTGCCTTTTGTATATATACATTCTAAATAAATAATGCAGTTTCAAGCCTAGCAAGAAACGATCTGATTGGTAACTGCAAAGAAAATAATGCAATTTTAAACTAGTTCATTGATTAAAATACAATAATTTTATCACAATCACGCCTATGTAAAGACATGGTAAATGGAAATAGCAAATGAATTTATAACAATTCTTTATTTTACATATGGTTATATCTCAATACACTATCTCGAGTTATCATTCAACTCGAAAAAAGGTACAGATAAAACTATCTTGACTAAGATCTATTTGTTAACATTATCAACGTGATCATCATTCACTAATAGATAATTTTCGGCAATGACTTTTCACCTTCCTCTTACAAATAATTATTTTCAAATTGTTTGAAAGGAATAAACTTTATGTAATCACCCTCACATGATGTTGTCAACTGAGTCTTTTTAATAAATTCATCTAATCTTTCTATTCCACTCGTCCAATTATCCAAACAATCTTATTCCACAATCCTGAACAAGGGGTTTAATCTTCTGACCTTACAATTCTAAAGTTTTAAAAGCATTACCATTAGGACGAGAACCTTTTGTAAAACGGCCATCAAAATATATTTCTGGACGATTTGGTTTATAAAATCATTTATCTTCTCTATCTTTGATTAATTTGAAATCAACGTGTCAATAAATGGATGGTGTTGATGATGGCGTTGTTGTCCATGGACAAGAGCTTTCTGTACTTGAGGTTGTAACCGGCTTTAACCGGTTAAAATTAACTTAAGGCCAGTACTATAAATTCGGGCGGAGTTAGACAATATTTAGACAATCATAAAAATCTTAATTTTAGCCGCAATTAAATTTCGGCCGGAATTAGATTCATCTATTTTAACCGGTTACAAATTAACCGGTTCCAACCTCTAATCTGTTCTCGACAGGTTTGGTGAAGCTGAACATCTGTTGTCGGAGAAATTTCAAGAGCATGTGATCATCTTTAGGCTGTTAAGGAATCGCCTGGATCTTATTTCACGCTACGAGCATAATTTTGACCGCTTCAAATATGGCTACAAATTCTTTGAACTCTTGCCAGTTTGATTGTACGTTAAAGAATCCAATATTATAATCAAATACCCAAAGATCGGATAGCGTAATGTAATTAAATAAAGTAAACTTCTTAAATTACTATCGCAATAAAAGAATGAGATATGTATTCCATGAAACAAGACTGATATATAGGTGGAGACATCACTGTCAGGATCAACTTCTTTTGTCTTAAGCTCTGTTTGTATTATTGTGCAAAATAAATAATATTTATGCAAGAATTTAAATACTTTCTCGTGATATTTTAAAGACCTATCAGTTAGATGAAGATAGATTCTAATTCTTTCATACTTGCATCGGATCCCTTCAAAAACAGTTTCAACTATTTTTCTGAAATTTCTATCGTTTACATCCATTAAAAATCGTGGTGAAAAATAATATATAATCGATTTCCGTTAATTCAAGTACGAGATAAAGGCTAGAAGATAAAAGAAAGGTTCGAAGAAGAATAAGCTTTCGTTATCCAGATTATTGTTCGTCAGTTAATTCTTGGTCGAATAATTCAAGGAAAAGTTTTTAAAGAATCATTTGAAATAGGAAATAGTTTTTATATATTAAATAAAATTCTAAAATCTAACGGCTAAAATTATGAATCACGTGGGATAGAAACTTGGTGGATAAATGTACTGAAGGTTTTAGGATCAGCACCATCAAAATTCCAGATCACTTCATTGTCTCATTAACAATTTGAAACTTAGTAATCATGAACTAGGCGAAACCTTGATTTGACAATTGAACTTATAGATTTAAGAATCGCAGTTGTTAATATATCGTTGTATATAAAATCTTGTAAATAGCGAAGATATTAAGAGGTATGGATTAAATTCGAGTTACGAGCACATGATCCGTTCCGTAACGTGATTATAACAGTATGCTCAAAGGCTAGTCTCTCATTATTTAATATACAAGTTTGGAGTTACTGCATTTGTGCGCAGATGATCCTCACCTACACCCTTGTTTTTTTTTAAGAAAGGTAAGCTCATAATTTTTCAATTACTACTAATTCACTTTACTAATGTATACTGAAGGCTTCACCAGGGATTTTATAGGAGAATAGATAACAGAATCCATTTATTCACCGATCACTTATATCTTTCGGTATTTCTGTTGTAGCCTTTAACAATTTTGAAGTCTGTAATTTATGGGGTTTCTAATAAAAAATAATATTTAGCTTATAAAAAACAAAAAAAAAATTTTTTGGTAGTTTCCTCTCTTTCTACTGCAAAGCGCCCATATGAGTCGTGGTAAAAAAAAAAGTAGCTTCAATGTAAATGATTTTCTAAATATGGCAAATATTATGACGCTGGACAACTTTCAAATATTTGATTAAACATCATAAATTGTGCAACTACGTGATGCGAAGGTTTGTATGAAATGAAGTTAGCAAAAAAACAGTATTAATATGTATCAAAATTAAAAATTTTATAATAAAGTTTTATAAACGTCAAATATATTTTGATAATTTCTTGCTCAAAAGAATGAAAAATCATTCATTTTTTTATTTGAAGTAATAAATAATATCCATGACCATTGTCAAGGTAAATCAAACTATATGATATGTAGATTAGCAATTGAAAATCTATGATCTTCATATTACTTTTAGACATGAAAAGAATTCGTACACCACATTAGACACATTGGCACATGGGAAATGGTAAAAAAAATATTCAGCTTAGGTAGCAAGGCCATTTATGGTTTAGAATTTACGGGAATAATCTTTGATACCTTATTCTTCTCCAAGCCAGTTATCTTTTTACTATAAAATAATAAAGGATATCACTTCACTTTGAATTATTTAAACTTATGTTTTTGTATATTGTATAATTTATATCATCGAAAAAATGTTTTACTTGCAATTTACTTTTTCATAAAAATGCATCGCATAATGATTTTGTGCTACAATGTAAAGACACAGTTTATTTCAATCATTACTTAAATTGTTATTATTTTAATAATTTTCAATAGACACGGGTAATCTGATGGTACAATCATACATTTTACTCATGTCCATGTGGCATTGGAATGTTCGGTCAACATAGTATGACAAAACTATATATAGTCCTATAGTAAAATTTACTATTAACGATTCTTTGTAATTCCGATATAAACATCAAAGTTTAAATTTTTCTTATAATTAATCTCTCACTAAATCGATGCATTTTCATACTTTAATAACACTAAACTCTTCCCAATATCTTCGCTCCAAATTTTACAAAAATGTCCTAAATCATTATCTCTTTTATGTACAGCTCGATTTTTCAAAAAAAATATCATTTACACAAAAAAAAATAAATAAATCTTTTTGAGCACAGCTCTCCGATAAAAAATTTTTTTCTTTGGATTTTTTAAAAAAGCGAGGTGTCATGTTGTTTTCTAGTTTATAATGTATTCATTTATAGTTTGAATACTAACTCAAACCAAAGTTATTAAACATTAAAGATTTAGGATTTTTTACCGGGAAGAATGTCTTTAACTTCAAGTCGTGTCCGTCAATTAAAAAAAGCTCGTGAAGCACAAGCTAAAAAGTTGGAGGCGAAAAAAAATGACAAAAAAAGAAAAATCAATGAGGTTATAAATGAAATATATGAGACAAATCTTGACTTAAATTTGGTGACAAAACTACCAAAATTAAGCAAAGAACAAACTCAATTAATTTTTTCAGTTCAACAATTATCCGAAGAAGAAGTTCCAGCAGCTAATAACCTTATTAAAACTATGCATTATCCTAAAGATCCGAATGAAGGCAAACTTATTTCTCCCTATCTTCAAAATAAAGCAAGAGAATATATTTCTCAAACTTTTTATAAACACAAATACACATATCAAGAATTGCAAACATCAAATACAAAACTAAAAATTGATTGCAAAAAACTTTATCAACGAAATCAAACTTTAATTAAAAAAACACAATCTCTTAGAGTACAAAATATGCATCTTGTCAATCAAAATGCAAATCATATATCTAAAATTCGATCATTAGCTCAACGTTCACAACAAGTCACAGATACAACCTTTCAAAAAAAAGCTAAAATCTATTTTTCAAGCAAATAAGCGAGAGTATGCATCTAATACTATTTGGCTTGCAACCAGTATTTCACAAATTGGTCAGATATCATTACGTTCTACAGTAGAATGTATGCAAGTAATTTATGAATTTCTAATTGGAGAGCCACCACAAAATTGGATAAGATTATCAACATTATGCACTTGACAGCAAGATATTTCTACATTACATACTAATGCTCAAATTCATCAGGCAATTATGGCACCATCATTTGGAGTCTTAGTTGACAAATCTACATGAGGTGAAGCAAAGTACTTTGTTTTATGTTATCAGTTTTGAAATCAAAAGGATCAAGTACCTGTTGTACTGTAGCTCATCTTAAGGATATTCCTAGTTGTAATGCAAATACTGTATCTAATACTGTTACAAAGTTTATACAACAAGATGGCTTGTCTTTTGATGAATATGCATGCATTCACAGCTTATATGTCAGGAGAAAAGAAAGGAGCTGTTATTCTCTTTAATAAAAAAAAATGACACAAATTCAATTTGAATTGGATGTGCACTTCACATAATTTAAATTATATTAAATAACTTTGAACAAGAAGCATTTGGAACAATTTCAAATAGCACTGATTTCTCAAGAAAACCTCACATATACAATTTACTTTACTTAGCTTGAAAGCTACATAATAGCTATAATTCAAGTGACAAGGATAAACCACTCAATATTAATGCTCATATTATCCAAGAGTTATATGATGGGTTGTTAGGATTTCACTACAACTAGGTAATAATTTCGGAAACTATTGTTAGGTCCGGAGCGAAAATTATTATAATTTGTCACATAATAAGTACATAGTGAACTTTGCCGCTAATCGGAAGTGCATTTCTGATTTACCATTTATTCAGAGTTCGTTTAATCACAGAAACTTAAATGAATTCCATGGTCTGTATGATCGGCAAATCAGGAATGCTAAGTACTATAAGTAATAATACTTTAAAATTGATATTAGTAAAATCAAAATGCAAGAGATTTAATTATTTTCTCAGTTAATTCTAATTCATATCATGTATACTTTTTATAAGTTTCTTGAATAAAATATTGTAAAAAATAAATAATAAAAATTAAGTTTTAAAATTTATTTATTATTTGATTCAGAGATCGTCTATAAGCGAAGTTTTGTAATTAAATCAGATTTTGAGTTGATCTATAAATCAGCATATACAATAACATTAAATAAAGTTAATATTAACAATAAAATCAAAGTTTGCACTTTTAAAATGAATAATAAAAGTATAAATTCTGAGACACTTAGAAAGAATAATAGCAAAAAAAATGAGACCGCCGAAAATGTGATACACGTCTTGAACATGAGCGTGAATGCAAACAACAGAATCGCGCAAAAGAAACACAAGAAAACTATAATGCGCGACTTATGAATGATCGTGCACAGAAAAAGGCAAAGGAGGTTAACAGAGACTGCTGAAGAATGTCAAAATCGTATTTCACATGAGAATGAACATAAACGTGAGCTGTGTTCTTAAAGAAAACACGTCAAACAATAGAAAGTATTGGTGATGATAAAACTTCTCAAGAGACAAATCAAAATAATTTTAACTTACAGTCTATACCATTATCAGCCAACACAATTAATGAGGAAGAATGCAGAAATTCTGCAACAAAATTGACAATATTTAATATAATACCTGTCCTATATGTAATGAGCGAATTCCATCCATGATACTTGTCAAAGGAATGTGCTGACGATGTTATATGGAAAAGTTGTCACTGAAGAAGTTTTCAGCAGAAAATAATATGGATCCAGAGAAATGCCTGAAGAACTTAAAGGACTTTCAGAAATTGAAGAAATGCTTATTGCATAAGTTTTTACAGTAATGACAGTATATCAACTTCGGGGAGGGCAAGATGGATATAGAGAAAATATTATAAATTTTTCTCAAGATATTCAAGGATTTACAAATCAACTTCTGCGGCAACCATCCTCATTGATATAATTGTAGTACGACAACAATCAGCAAAGGATCCAACGACCTTTAGGGATTTTCATATTCATCAAGATAGAGTAGCTGATGTGCTATTATGGCTAAAATAAAATAACAAATTCTATAATGATATAATTATCAATAATGAAATCTTCCTTTTATTACCTAAGAATGAATCTATTGCTCAGTTGCTTCCTCAGATTCAGGATGATCAAATTCTAGACGAGAGATTAGTTGACAATGAAAATAATGAGGACGAAATAACAAGTACATTTGTACTTCTAAATACGAATCAGGAAGATGTTGCTATAAATGATACACATGATCGTATGGCCAATTCACCGAAAGGACATTTTGCAGAACGGCCACTTCGCTGAATGTCCATTTCGCCGAATGGACCTTTCACCGAAAAGAAGTTTCGCCGAATGAACATTTCACCGAGAGGACGCTTCGCCGAAATGACGTTTTGCCGAATCCGTTTTACCGAATGGACACTTCTCCGAATCCGTTTCACCGAAAGGACATTTCGCCGAAAACGAAAATAATTCGCTGTTGGTTGTTAGCAACTTGCCAGATTTATTGAGCTTTTTTTATTATTTCCAACGAAATTTTTAAGAAAAAACTTACTTTATAATGTAGAACCTAAAAATGATGTTAAACAAATGTTACGCAGTAGTCATTTTCGACGAAATGTCCTTTCGGTGAAACGGATTCGGCGATGTGTCCGTTCGGCAAAAAGGATTCGGCAAAACGTCATTTCAGCAAAACAACATTTCGGCGAAGTGACTTTTCGGCGAAAACGTCTTTCTGTGAAAATTCCATTCGGAGAAGAGTCCTTTCGGTGAATTAGCTTCGGCGAAGTGGGTTTCGACGAAACGGATTCGGCGAAACGTCCGGATACCGTTTTCTTAACTCCCGGTAAAAATAACCAATAAATAATTAAAAGAATGCGTAGTAAAATTCAATTGACCGAAATTTATAAAATTTCTTGTGTGTGTTTATAAGATAAAGGATAAAACCTCCGTGATTATTAAATTCATAATAAAAAATTATTTCGTCCGTTGATAAATCAGCTTTATTAACTTATAATTGAATAATTCTTTTTATTTATTGTTTTAAATCTATAACTTTACTAACATCAATAATTTCGGAAAAACAAATAGTAACCGTCTGTTTGTCATCCGATTTTATGACAATAATTTCTATGTCTTGTTTCAATGATGATTATACTCACTCTCAAATTTTTTAACAAATATTAAAATTATTCTCACCGAATCATATTTTTTTTTTCTTATAAAAAGAAATAAAATGATGGGCATTTGGCCATGAGGAATCCAAGTTAAAAAAAGATATCTTTATTTTTGCAATAAATTAAACTCATATACTATTAAAATAATTATACAATTCAATAAAATAAAAAAAAACGCTGAGATTTATTAAATCGCGGATTATTGATTTCTTTTATTATTTAAACAAGAGGATGTAGTGAACATAATTCTTTAAATAAAATGACAGGTATTTTGTAATTTATAATAAACCTATTTAAAAAATTCTAACTCAATTAGGAACAAAACAAAGCCAACAAAATTGAAACAATGAATCAAATATTCCTCTTACATCTTATATTTGTTGTCAACTTAACCAACACAACCATTTTCATCGCATTGTGGTTGCCCTTGGGTGCAAATAGTATCCCCTGAAGGGGTTTTTTCGCAAGAAACTTGTCTTTTTAACAAACTTTCATCGAATGCCATAGGAGCAGCAAAAACGACACTGCTGAAGGTTAAAATGGCGATGACAAGGATTACAATAAGAGTTTTCATGATGGTTTTAGAATGATTTATTAAATAAATTCTTTACAATGATATTTTTATTTCTGAATTTCTGAATGAGATATGGAATTCGCAAGTTCTAAGGACGCGTATTTATATGTGTTAGTAATAGTGGTAAAATTATCGATTTTGACCATGAGCCGAGCCAGTTCGTGAGTTACAATTAAAGTAATCATATGCTGAACCGCCACGCTAAGCCAGGTATATCTAAATTGATTTTACCTAGCTCGGATCAAAGGCTTGCGGTTGGGGCAGTGTCGGGCTGAGCCATAGGATTTCTCGCATTAAATAAGGCTTATTGAAATTATAAAGATTTTTATTGCCAAATGGGGTTAGCGCTTTGGTAAAACAGGTAAATAGTTATCAATTTTTAAGAGATTTACATAAGCAATTTCAAGACTTAAAAATAATCTTTTGCCACCCAAGCAGTAAACAAATTCCATCAAAATCACTAATCAATCAGCAATTAGAGAAATCTTATTGTAATATACAATATCAAGATCAGATGTTTTAAATTTTAAATGTTTTATAGTGTAATAATAATCGGGACAAATTTTTATGCAGTTAACCTTACAGGAAACGTAGCGCCGATAACTCAGCCACAACTTCGCCCAAGTTTTGATTTTAGTTCAAATTAAAGTGACACGTGATTTTTAATTCGCGAAAATTAAATCACGAGTATACGGGGAATCTTAACCTACACCCCACATCAGCTTCATTTTATCAATTTTTTCCACTCTTTCATCGCTCTTTCCTTTTATCCATTTAAATATTTTTAAGTAATTTAAATTAAGAATATAAAATATAACAAAGTTGATATATTGTATACTCATGTCGTGAATTGCTATCTTAATTGTCAAAATAAGTGATCAAATGGCAAAATGTCATGAGAAAGCAGAAAAGCATACCGAGATCGTAAGCTTTAATTTTGCATTTATATATTTTATTTATTTTTAGCTGGATCCAAAGAAATTGTTAATAATTGTCAAATCAAATAATTCAGTTTAATATATTAGTAGCTAATTATTTATCCTTATGATTATATTAATAATGGATACCTATGAGACTTTTCACTATAATTAATAGTAATTTATTAGAATAGTTGAGTCAAATGGATTTACTAATTAAATACGCAGCTTGTCGATCACTTTTTTTACTATGATTAATTAGTAAAAACTTAAATTTCCAGTGTTTTCATCATATGTAATCCTTAATTTTCCAATTTTCCACAAATTAATTTTATCAAATTTTCTTTTGTTTCTGGGTTAAGACAAAAGTTCTGAGACAAATTTTTTCTGCTGTTTATTAATAGAAGTTAGAAGGATCTCTCTGTAAAGTTGGTTACTTTTTTTGTTAAATATTATAACCTTTCAAGTAAATGGGAAACTACGCAAACTGCATAAACAAGTTTGGTCTTAAAAAAATATTTTATTCAATATTTTTAGTTTTTAAATAAAATAA